CATAAATATTTGTTTTGGGAAGTATTTAGATGTTATTATATGAAAGAAACCAGTATTTTTTACATTTAGGTAACCGTCTGTATACAGCTAATTAAAAAGTTACATGGCTTGATTTCAAGTTTATGTGAATCATAATTATCATGCAGTTTGATTTCTGTGTCATGAATTTAAAACTGAAATCAGAGGTCTGACAATCAACATCATGTTATATCCCTGCTGTTGTAGGAGTTTTGCAAAAAAAAGAAAAAAGAAAAGAAAAGAAAATCCAAGCAAAAAATCAAAAGGAGAAAAAATAATTAGAACTGTGTGAATAGTGGGGCATTTAAATTTTCATTTTCACTTACTAATTACAGTTTATATGACTATTTTGGATTTCACAATAGGATAATTGATCGCTTAGATGGAGTTCGTTTGTTGTGGTCCCTGCTGAAAAATCCTCACCCGGACGTGAAGGCGAGTGCAGCGTGGGCCCTGTGCCCGTGCATCGAAAACGCTAAGGTAAGAATAGACCGCAGATCAGTCTGTTCTCAGACGTCTAATGCTGTATTGAAGAAAGTCACCACAGGTTACTAACTGCTTTTGACTTAGATTTATCTGGTGGGAAAGAGTGCTGAACAATGTTTATGCCGAAGTAACTTTTGAGAAATGCCTTTTCCTGCTCAGTTTTAAAGTGCCAAACAAAACTAGGACGACAGTACTTAAAAAGTTCAACCTGGCTGGTGCAATGGAAACAAGCGCCCAGGTAAATCAGAGTGACTTCTGTTCTCATGTCTTGGGTGATAAGAAAACTGTGTGCATTGACCTGCTACTTGCAGAGCTTGAAAGCCCCTGGGACGCCTGACTGCTTTCACTGCAGTTACAGCCTGCAGGGAAGATCGCAGAGTTCTGTGCTATGTTGAAAAGGTCACATAAGTGCACTGAGTCTCCCTTTTCTTCTCCATCAGTGAAGACTGGACTAGAAGTGTGTGATATCTATTTTCACTCTTCATTTGTAAATTTTTTAATTTTCTTTAAAGATCGCTTTTCAGCCTATTTTTTCTGATCTTTACCTAACATTTTTCTGTAGGGTTAGACGTTTCCCTTTAAGATCCTTGTTGCTGAAGCTATTTCTCTCTGTTGAACGTTTTTT